AAAAAAAATAAAATAATTATAATTTAAATGTAGCATTTTATCTTATTAACTTTTTAACTTATTTTATAATTTTTACTAACCAAACAATCTCTCAACTCTTTATGCCATACGATTGCCCAATTTGTTAGAATGCTCACTTGGAATCAGAAATTGAAGGTGTAAATGAATTCAGAAATAGAAATTGACAAGTTTAATAGGCTAATTTGAATATTTAGAACTTTTGGAAAAGTTGCATTAAAATTTGATTCAAATTAAAAATAATTATAAATAATCAATAAGAATTGAGTGGGATTAATTAGTCTTAAGCTTGCTTAGTTAACTTAAGCTAATCTAACCTATATATATATATATATATATATATATGTTATAAGAGAAAAGAAAGGAACTCATATAATCAACATTTGTGCTGAATTTAGAGTAAGAAGAAGAGAGTTGGTGCTAAGAGAGAGGGGGCTAAATTTGAAGAATTTGAGGAATTGATTAGAGAAGCTAAGGGAATTCAACTAATGAATCATCAATTCAAGCTCTAGGTGAGTAATTAATCCTTAAATCTTATAGATAATCAATCCAAGAGCTAAGTTTATGAATTATTTAGGATCATATGCATGTAATTCGAAGGAGTTTCCAAGAAGATGATGATAATTAGTTTGGAAAGGACATGCATGCATGATTTCATCATGTTATCCTATTTTGGCGATGAACTCTACCATCTTTGTTGGAATTCAAGTTAACTTGCATCCATATTTTTTATTTTGAGAAGTTTGAGGGTGTGAGTTCATGAATTTAAAGGATCAAATTCATATTTTGAGAATTTTGAAGAAAAGAGTTTGGAACTCCTCATGCATGGAAGTTTTGATTTCAATTTTGACAAATTTGTTAAGTTTTGAGTTGTTGACTTCAAATGGATACATATTCATGTTTTTCTAAGAGTTTTCATATGTTTGTACCAACCGTGCAAGCTTTAGAATTTGAAACTCATGTTTTGAGCTCAAAATTTTGTTTGGAAAATCCAGAATTCGGCCTCATCGCTCGAGCGATGAAGTTACCGCTCGAGTGCACTTTGAGACCATCCAGTATTTTTGCAAATTTGCACAATCACTCAAGTGACCACGAGCCCACTCGAGCGAACTCAGTTTTCATTACACTTGGCTCGAGAGCCCGTCAAGCCTAGATTTTGAGCATCCAACACTTTTGCAAACCACTCGAGTGACCAAAGGACCACTCAAGCGAACTGCCCTGTTTCAGCAACTTTTGAAAAACACTTTCAAGTGCATATTTTCATTCTCATGATCTTTTAGGCATTCTTGGGCATTGTTTAGGCATCATTAATGAGGGAATAAGCTATGAAACCGACTTAAGGGACTGAATTAAACCGGAATAGGCTTTAATCGATTAATTGTTGTATGATATGCTTCATTGTATCTTTATTATATGTCTTGTGTAGGTTAGTCACCCGAAACTTACATCAAATCAAGCCCACAGTGAGTAGTATCTCTATAAAGATATGTTTGAAATGTACTTTGAATTGTTTCAAGAATGATATCTATGAATGTTATTTTTATATGAATGAATGAATGTCCTATTTGAAAAGTATTCATTGCATCTTTTAGTGAGGCCCTCGCCTGAGAGAAACAATACCATGGCCCTTCGATTATTGAATTACAGAGATCTCTGATGATTGACCCGAGTGGTCCGTTCGCTAGACCTTTATGGTCCCTTTGTTTAGACCTTGATAGTCCCTTTGCTAGATCTTGATGGTCCCTTTGATTTAGGCCTTCAGCCCCTTTGTTATTCTATTGGATGTACCACATATGATGCATGATTAATGGTTTTCGATTTGACAAAGTTCGATTGAAATTCGTTATGTGATTCGTTTTGAGAATATAAGTCATGTTTTGTATTGTGTTGGACTTCATTTGATATTACTCACTAGATTTTAACTCACCCCTCCCTTATATATATGTAGATGAGCATGAGGATCGTCAAGTCTAGAGTTGCTTCGGGAGTCCAAAGTCGAGAGAAGGAGAAAAGCTCTTGAATCTAAGGGATTCCAGATAAGTAGAACTAAAACAGAGTACATGGAGTGTAAATTTAGTAACAGTAACAATGAAAGCAGAGGAGAAGTGAAGATTGAGAACCAAGAACTGCCTAAGAGTGAATATTTTCGTTATTTATGGTCAATTATCACAACAGCGGAGGAGATTGATGCGGATGTGACCCATAAGATTAAGGCGGGATGGTGTAAGTGGAGAAGTGCATCTGCGGTATTGTGCAATAAACGAATACCCACTAGACTAAAAGGTAAGTTCTATAGAACGGCTATTAGACCAGCGATGTTATATGGGACGGAATGTTGGGCAATCAAGAAATAACATGTAAATAAGATGAGTGTGGCTGAGATGAGGATGCTAAGATGGATGTGTGGTAAGACTAGACAAGACAGAATTAGAAATGAGTGTATTCGAGAATGGGTAGGAGTAGCACCGATAGAAGATAAATTAAGAGAGAATCGATTAAGTTGGTTTGGTCATATTCAACGGAAACTAACAGAGGCAGTAGTAAAGAGATGCGATGCTACAACGGTAGATGGAAGTGTTAGGGGATGGGGTAGGCCTAGATTAACGTTGACTAGCATTGTAAATAGAGATTTGGATCTACTTAATTTGACTAACGAAATGGCCTTTGATAGGGCCACGTGGAAAAGAAGGATTCATGTAGCCGACCCCATTTGATGAGGCTTAAGGCTTGGTTTGGTTTGGTTTGGTTTGGTTTTGTTTTGTTAGTTGAAGACTTTGTTTGTATGTTGGAGCCTATGTTACCTGGAACGTGAATTGTTCTGGTACTGGGAACGGGAACGGGAACGGAAACGCAGTACGCCACATGCTTTAAAATGTTGTATGATAGGGGTAAACTTGTATATATTATACTTAAGAATTTAAAGTACTTCTAAATTAATTTTTTTTTTAACTATTAGAAATCTAATAAAATGTAATATTTTTTATGAGCATTATGATCTATTTTTTAATATTTTTGTCTTGTCAAAACTTAACTCACCTTAGATTTTAATTCATTATATTTGATTTTTTTCCTCCTAAGGTAAAATTTAAGGACATCTATTGAAAAAAACTTCTGGGATCATTTTGGATCACTAAATTTACCCTTTTGAGAACGGAAGTGTCCCATATTTCGAAACGTGCGTACTAATACGTAATTTGCTAGGGTATTAACGTTTTTTGGTAACATAGATTGGAGTTGTGTTAAAAGTTTAAGTTTATTGTGTATATTACTATGATCAGTTGAATGGAGTTTAAGTCCATTTGGATTTTGGCATATAAGCACCGCTCAATGGACTTGTTTAATTAATGTTAATGCTTCCGCTAAGCCCCGTTGTCTATTATACAATTTGTATTTGTCTTTGAGGCCCAAAATAATTAAAGATTACTGGCCGATCATGACCTAGACCTCTAGGTGCAAGTTCGAGTCGTGACACAAAGATTCAGACACACCCCATTTGACCTGCCACCCTTCTTAATTTATCTTGTGGAATGTTAATACCAATTAACCTATACTTCAAAGCCTCTAACATATTTGTGCCCAAAATTTATTTGAAAGAGGCCGAGTAAATTTCCTACCATTATAATTTTCAGTTAATCATTTAGTATGTTTGTAATCATTTATGATCATTCAAAATTTTTTGCTTTGCTTGGATCTTTATTTAATTGCCAACAAAACTATTTGCTTGTGTTTTCCTCCTTCTTAGATTTTAATGATGTATTGGATGATATCTTCTTTAACATGTGATATACAATTTTTTTTTTTTTTTTTTTTTTTTTTGAAAGTATCCCTGTCGTGCCCTATCCTGATTGTTTTGAAAATTTCCCTATCCAGTGTTCGTGTTCGTGCTTCTTAGGGATACATGAGAAGAAAAGAAACCATGGAAACATACATTTTTACTACTTGAAATTGTTAAGTCACCTATTTTCCCAAAAGCTTAAACTTATTGGAAATGGGCCCAACTATACATATCAAGCTATTCAACACCCTCTTGCACGTGAAGAGAGACAAACAGAGAACCAAACAAAAAGAGAAGCAAACAACCAAACAAAGAAGAACAAACCAAAAGTGGACCAAATACCAAATGCCAATAGAGAGACTTAAACCCAAGACTTCTCTCAACCTAAGATCTAATGCCATGTTAAGTCACCAACTTTCGCAAAAGCTTAAGCTTATAGGAAATGGACCCAACTATGTCTATTAACCTATTCAACACGAATTGCATTTACATCAATTTCTCCACTGAAACAAAAGATTCAAGACTTTGTTTTAATTCTAAAATCCAAGTGCTTGGCAAGAAAGTCCTCTTCATGGAGGCAGATTAGACCACTTTGTTTGATTTTGAGTTTCCAATTTAGCTTTTGAGTTTTTTGTGTTTTGTTATTTTCAGTGAATTTTTTTCATATTTTAGACATTTTTTTCTTTTTAATTTATAGATACACTTAACCTAGATGTTTAATATTTTAAGTAAATTTTTTAGATGTACCTAAAAAACTAAAATATTTAAAAAAAAAAAAAAATCAATAAATATATATATATATATGTACTTCTTTTTTTTTCCTTCTATTTTTTGGTATTTAGTGCATTTTTAAAGATTTTTCACAAATATTTTACTTTTTAGGTGCTTCTAGGTTAGGTGCATCTAAAAGGTAAAAAACTTGATTATAATATTAAAAAAATTCACTAAAGACAACGAAATATGGCAAAACAAAAAAGTCAAAAATTGTGTTTGAAAACTCTAAACCAAACAATATTATTTACTAAGTTGGAAGCAAGACTCTAAATTCTTTTAACTTCATTCCATTTCCCGACAAACAACAGAAATCCTAAGGTTTGAAAAATCACGAAGAAATCAACAAGAAACAACCAAATTCAATTTCACAAAATATACAAGGTTGCCAACTTCCACCTTAACTTAGATATCTCAATTAGGAGCTTCAATTCACCTTATGCCAGAACAATCAGAAAATCTTTGACTCTCAAAAGGAGATTTGATCCTATTGCTAGTGACTGCATATGACGTAGAGCAACCAATCCCTTCTGCATGGCAGAGATGACAATGAGTGGGTCCTGAAACACAAAAAATAACGATAAAGATATTATGCAGAAAAAAAAATTATATATATAAAAAAGGAAAAAAAAAAATGAGGGGGTAATTTAACAAGAAAATAAGTTGCAACCAAAAAAATGCATATCAAATGTGCATATATATTAAATATACATTATGAAAACACCATTCTAAGAAGCATGGACACGGACACGTGACACGACACGAATACGACACGGACACGCCGACACGTTAATTTTAAAAAAATGCAGGACACGACACGTGGAGAACACGCATGAAATATATAATTTTATATATTTATTATATGTTATATATATGAATATATCATTCAAAGATAATAAAAAATGCAATATAGCACTATTTCCTATAAATTTATATGGTTTTTGTTTTATTATTGTATCTTAAGTTGTTTTGTTCAAACTTATAATTAGTTTTACATATCTAAACTGTCCCGACATTGATTCCGGTTAGTTTCTCCAAGGGTCCAGCAAGACTCCGTAAACTGTCTTCTACAACGGTCCGACATGACCCCATAAACTGTCTTCTACATCGGTCTGACACCACCATACAGTGTCCTCTCCAATGTTATGACACCCCCATCCAGTGTCCTCTACACCGTTATGGCACCACCATACAGTGTCCTCTACAATGTTATGACACCACCATACAGTGCCTTCACCAACGGTCTGACACGACCATACAGTGTCTCCTATCCTTTTTTTATTTTTATGTATTTTTCTTGTTTTGTTCCTCTCTCTTCAAACTCAAGTTGGTTAGTTTCTGTCCTCCTTGAGTTTGCGGGGGGCTGTTAGAATATATCATCACCTACCACCTCCACTCAACTCCACTCAACTCACCTACCACACACACTCACCTACTCCCCAATCCTCTCCTATATAATTAGTACCTCACCATCTGTAATTCACACAATAATCAATCAATCAATAATACATAAATTACATAAATTCTTACAAATGTCCTATTTGAAAAGTATTCATGGCATCTTTTAGTGAGGCCCTCGCCCGAGAGAAATAATACCATGGCCCTTCAATTATTGAATTACAGAGATCTCTGATGATCGACCCGAGTGGTCCATTCGCTAGACCCTTACGGTCCCTTTGTTTAGACCTTGATGGTCCCTTTGCTAGACCTTGATGGTCCCTTTGATTTAGGCCTTTAGGCCCCTTTGTTGCTCTATTAGATGTACCACATATGATGCATGATTAATGGTTTTCGATTTGACAAAGTTTGATTGAAATTCGTTATATGATTCGTTTTGAGAATGTAAGTCATGTTTTCTATTGTGTTGGACTTCATTTGATATTACTCACTGGATTTTAACTCACCCCTCTCCCTTACATATATGTAGATGAGTATGAGGATCGTCAAGTCTAGAGTTACTTCGAGAGTCCAAAGTAGAGAGAAGGAGAAAAGCTCTTGAATCTAAAGGATTCTGGATAAGCAGAACTAAAACAGAGTATATGGAGTGTAAATTTAGTAACAGTAACAATGAAAGCAGAGGAGAAGTGAAGATTGAGAACCAAGAACTGCCTAAGAGTTAACATTTTCGTTATTTAGGGTCAATTATCACAACAACAGGGGAGATTGATGCGGATGTGGCCCACAAGATTAAGGCGGGATGGTGTAAGCGGAGAAGTACATCTGGGGTACTGTGCGATAAACAAATACCTACTAGACTAAAAGGTAAGTTCTATAGAACGGCTATCAGACCAGCGATGTTATGTGGGACGAAATGTTGGGCAACCAAGAAATAACACGTAAATAAGATGAGTGTAGCTGAGATGAGAATGCTAAGATGGATGTGTGGCAAGACTAGACAAGACAGAATTAGGAATGAGTGTATTCGACAATGGGTAGGAGTAGCACCGATAGAAGATAAATTGAGAGAGAATCGATTAAGATGGTTTGGTCATATTCAACGGAGACTAACAGAGACAGTAGTGAAGAGATGCGATACTACAACGGTAGATAGAAGTGTTAGGGGATGGGGTAGGCCTAGATTAACGTTGGCTAGTGTTGTAAATAGAGATTTGGATCTACTTAATTTGACTAAAGAAATGGCTTTTGATAGGGCCGCGTGGAGAAGAAGGATTCACGTAGCAGACCCCATTTGATGGGACTTAAAGCTAGGTTTGGTTTGATTTGGTTTGGTTTTGTTATTTGAAAACTTTGTTTGTATGTTGGAGCCCATGTTACTTGGAACATGGATTATTCTGTTACTTGGAACGGGAACGGGAACGGGAATGGGAACATAGTACGCCACATGCTTTACAATGTGGTATGATAGGGATAGGCTTGTATATATTATACTTAAGAATTTAAGGTACTTCTAAATTAAATTTTTTTTAACTATTAGAAATCTAATAAAATGTAATATTTTTTATGAGCATTATGATCTATTTTTTAATATTTTTGTCTTATCAAAACTTAACTCACCTTAGATTTTAATTCTTTATATTTGATTTTTTTCCTCCTAAGGTAAAATTTAAGGACATATATTGAAAAAAACTTTTGGGATTGTTTTGGATCACTAAATTTACCCTTTTGGGAACAGAAGTGTCCCATATTTCGGAACGTGCGTACTAATACGTAATTCGCTCGGGTATTAACGTTTTTTGGGAACATAGATTGCAGTTGTGTTAAAAGTTTAAGTTTATTGTGTATATTACTATGATCAGTTGAATGGAGTTTAAGTCCATTTGGATTTTGGCATATGAGCACTGCTCGATGGACTTGTTTAATTAATGTTAATGCTTTCGCTAAGCCCCATTGTCTATTATACAATTTGTATTTGTCTTTGAGGCCAAAAATAATTAAAGATTACTGGCCGATCATGACCTAGACCTATAGGTGCGGGTTCCGGTCGTGACACAAAGATTCAGTGACACACCCCATTTGACCTGCCACCCTTCTTAATTTATCTTGTGGAATGTTAATACCAATTAACATATACTTCAAAGCCTCTAATATTTTTGTGCCCAAAATTTATTTGAAAGAGGCCGAGTAAATTTCCTACCATTACAATTTTCAGCTAATCATTTAGCATGTTTGTAATGATTTATAATCATTCAAAATTTTTTGCTTTGCTTGGATCTTTATTTAATTGCCAACTAAACTATTTGCTTGTGTTTTCCTTCTTCTTAGATTGTAATGATGTATTGGATGATATCTTCTTTAACATGTGATTTACAATTTTTTTTTTTTTGGAAGTATCCCTGTCATGCCCTATCCTAATTGTTTTGAAAATTTCCCCGTCCAGTTCGTGCTTCTTAGGGATACATGAGAAGAAAAGAAACCATGGAAACATACATTTTTACTACTTGAAATTGTTAAGTCACCAATTTTCCCAAAAGCTCAAGCTTATAGGACATGGGCCCAACTATATATATCAAGCTATTCAACACCCTCTTGCACATGAAGAGAGACAAACAGAGAACCAAACAAAAAGAAAAGCAAACAACCAAACAAAGAAGAAGAAACCAAAAGTGGACCAAATACCAAATGCCAATAGAGAGACTTAAACCCAAGACTTCTCTCAACCTGAGATCTAATACCGTATTAAGTCACCAACTTTCACAAAAGCTTAAGCTTATAGGAAATGGGCCCAACTATGTCTATTAAGCTATTCAACACGAATTGCATTTACATCAATTTCTCCACTGAAACAAAAGATTCAAGACTTTGTTTTAATTCTGAAATCCAAGTGTGTGGCAAGAAAGTCCTCTTCATGGAAGCAGATTAGACCACTTTGTTTGATTTTGAGTTTCCAATTTAGCTTTTGAGTTTTTTGTGTTTTGTAATTTTCAGTGAATTTTTTTCATATTTTAGACAATTTTTTTTCTTTTTAATTTATAGATACACTTAACCTGGATGCATCTATTATCAGCTAGAAAAGGCAAAAAAGAAGGAAGCTGCATTTATCGTAACTTTTGCAAAACGAGAGCAGGAGATTGCAGAATTGAAGGTGAGAAGTCTAGCTTTGCTTATCCATTTTTGTTTGTTTTTGTTGCGCATGAAAGAATTAACTTGAAGTTGTATGCTTGTAGCTACTTGATGCGTTTTCTAAATGGGTAGGTGTTGTACAAGACATACAAAAGAGATTTCCTTGAAAATGAAAACATAAATAGAGAAAAAGGAATTGCCTTAATGAAAGCGACCAAACCAGTGAGACACTGTATCTTTCACCAAGTCCTGTGAAATTCATGCACCCCTTAGTTTGTGATTCTGCTTGGACATTCCAAGATTTTGTTGTTTGACTGATTATCAAATCACCTATTTCTATCATGTCCAACACTTAATGGAGGCTGGAGAGCTTCAATGGGCCAGCTGAGATGTTGCTACCCATTCTTTTACTCTACCCATTTTCTATATAAATGTCATCTGAAAAATCTCTCCCTGTTGCTTCCATCAACCCAATTAAGCTTTAGCTGTTATGGCTGTGATAAATCAAACGTGCCTGAAATTAAGTGTGGAGAATCCTGTTTGTGTGTTCCTGAAAAGTATCTATTTTTAAGTGAGCTGTACTGCATCACAAACTAATATTTTTTTTTTGTTTCTTTTTTCGAGCTGAATCAAGTCATCTAAAGGGATATTGTATATATGCTATAGGATCAGCACTAGGTCTTTCCATGAAACAAGATTTTGTCTTTAGCCTTGAAACCTTTACCGATAAGCTAAGAAGCATGGACACGGACACGTGACACGACACGAATACGACACGGACACGCCGACACGTTAATTTTAAAAAAATGCAGGACACGACACGTGGAGGACACGCATGAAATATATAATTTTATATATTTATTATATGTTATATATATGAATATATCATTCAAAGATAATAAAAAATGCAATATAGCACTATTTCCTATAAATTTATATGGTTTTTGTTTTATTATTGTATCTTAAGTTGTTTTGTTCAAACTTATAATTAGTTTTACATATCTATAATCAATAGACACATGTGTTTAAACAATTGATA